AGCCCGTAATGCTATGCATATAAGTGGCTTTGGCATGCTGCTCTTGCCTGTATTTTTTTTGTACCTCTGTATGTATGCTCAAATTACTAAATAAATAAATAAATAAATAAAATCAAAGACTCGCCCATTACAATATTCTTGAATGGATAAAAGTATATGCTGAACTTTTGTTTGAGATACATAAAAACATTTCTTATCTTGTATAACCAGTCACTTCTGTCAGGCCTAGTTTTGTCAGAGAAGTGCAATATACGTAACAGTAAGATAAACCTGTTCACTGGGATGATTTCACTGAAGACCGAGGTAGAAATTAGCCAATCTGTGGACCAGTATGCTTTTATATTATGTTATAGACATGAGGCATAAGCATTACTGTTGCAAAAAGCAAATACATTTCTGCAACAGTCGTCGCTTTCCACCGGTGTAGTCTTGACTGTGGTGATATGATCGTATTTGCCATGGTGTACTCAAAATACTTATTACTTTCCCTGACAATAGTTTCCATCAATGGCTGGTCAAAGAATAATTCAAAGAATTCCAGTTCATTTGCAGTGTTTCCAAGGTGACAAATTGGTAGAATTCCACTTTCAGAGTCATCAAAGTGGTGGGGCTTGGGAACAAAATTGGGATTTTGTTGCCAATCCCAGATACGGTTTGCTGGTGGATACTGGACATCATAGGCTGGTTGTGTGGGTAGTTGTGGTTGTGGTGGGCTGGTGGCTGACGCTCCGCTTTGTCCTTGAACTGTGGAGTCAGCAGCGTGGGTCCCTGCCTGGGCTGGTGAGTCACGCATGGCCGTGGCACTACCATCACCACTACCACCATCTAGTGATGCCTGTGATCTATCCATGCCAAGTGTAGCCACATCATCCTCACTATCACTATCTATACCTGGTGTAGGGCCACGGGATGTACTCCGGGATGTACTCCGTCCCCTGGGCACGGCAAAGGGTACACTACCCGAGTGCATGTGGTGGTGTACATACCGACGCTTCACTGGTGAATATGATTCCTCACTATCACTACTCGAATGATCGTCAAGAGCAATAAAATCACAATCCACATCACTATCATCATCATTACTGAAGTCAGAGGCCTGTCCACGCGAAAATAATAGTTTTCTCTTTCGCTGAGGTACAACCGACCGTGACTGACGAGTGCCCACACCAGAGGTAGAAGGCAGAGGATCGTCAGGGTTTTATGCACTATTATCGATATCCTGGTCATTCCTTTTGGTCCCTAACTGATCAAAGCCAAAGAATTTGTCTTCATTTCCACTTCCATCACTGTCAGAACTATCAGATAGGAACAGGAGAGTCCCAATTTTCCTTGGAGTGAGAGCTGCCTTGCGGCGAGGCATGGTGAACAAGGGTAACTGAGCCAGCATTCCCACAATGCTATGCAGGCGCCTAGATTTTTGTTTATGGCACACACCCACCACGCAGACCCGTTCTCTCACATGTAGGCCTATGAGCACTTTCGCGCTACATTTGATGGTGCTAGAATTTTGGCGTAGATCTACGGTTTGGACACTCAACGTGAAGCCGTAGATCTATGGGACGGACCCTGAAAGGGTTAAGAGGTCACCTAGGAATTACTAAAACTTTATATAGAATCTCAAAAGAATTCTATTGACCAAAATTAAGGCAGGATGTGAAGAATCATATCCGCAGTTGCCGAGAATGTCAGCAAGTAGGGAAACCTGGATATTCCATTAAACTTGCACCTCTCCTGCCTATACCTGCTGATGGAGAACCTTTGGCAGAATTAATTATAGATTGTGTAGGTCCACTACCTAAGTCCAAGTCTGGAAATCAGTACTTATTTATCATTATGGATAGAGTAACTAGATACCTAGAAGCAATTCCCATGTGCAGTATTAATACTAAAGTAATACTTAAAGCTTTAATGAAGTTTATCTCTTGCTGTGGTATTCCTAAATCCATTCAAAGTGATCAAGGTACTAACTCCACTGCCAAAGCATTAACTAGGTTAGGGATAATTCACACCTTATCCAATGCCTATCATCCTCAGTCCCAAGGTGCCTTAGAAAGATTCCATCAGATGTTAAAACCATGATGAGAACTTTTAGTACGCATTTTCCTACAGACTGGGATGAATCACTACCTTTGTTGCTATTTTCAATAAGGGAAACCATGCAGGAGTCTACCAGGTACAGTCCGTTTGAGCTGATCTTTGGGCACAATGTATGAGGTCCTACTCGAGTGCTAAAAGAAGGATGGATGGGAGAAGAAGTCAGCTCAACACTCTACAGCAGGTTGCAGGTGGCACGTCAGTTAGCCAAGGCTAACTTAAAGGCAGCTTAAAACAAGATGAAACAGAGGTATGACAGAAATTCACAAGACTCATGAAATCGTAATGACACGATTGCAAACAAACCATACCCCGGCCGGGATTGAACCCGCGGTCAGAGAGTCTCAAAACTCCAGACCGTCGCGTTAGCCACTAGACCAGCTAGCCACAATAAGATTCGTCCAACTAGGTATATTTCTACACCATAGGAAGGTTAGCAGAGGCACCACTGTGACCACAAATGCAAGTTTTTACAGACGAATCTCCAGCTAGTGTGGCAGTGACGAACTCTAGCTCAAGTCCCCTCACTGCCGTCAACATGACTCACGAAATCGTAATGACACGATTGCAAACAAACCATACCCCGCCGGGATTGTACCCGCGGTCAGAGAGTCTCAAAACTCCAGACCGTCGCGTTAGCCACTTGCATTTGTGGTCACAGTGGTGCCTATGCTAACCTTCCTATGGTGTAGAAATATACCTAGTTGACTCAAGAAATCGTAATGACACGATTGCAAATAAACCATACCCCCGCGGGTTCAATCCCGGCCGGGGGTATGGTTTATACCTAGTTGGATGAATCTTATTGTGGCTAGCTGTTCTAGTGGCTAACGTGATGGTCTGGAGTTATGAGACTCTGACCGCGGGTTCAATCCCGGCCGGGGTATGGTTTGGTTAGAAATTCACAATTCTGCTCCTTCTGTTCAGGAGACAAGGTGTTGGTACAAGAACCTATACCTGGCCACATCTTGAAAGCTAGATTTATGGGACCTATGCAAATTGTCAGCAAATTATCTGATGTAAATTATGTGGTGTCTCCCCTTGACAAGTCCTCAAAAACTAAAACTTACCACATTAATCAAATTAAAGCTTTTAATACACCAGATAAAGTCCCAGTAATGACTCTGTCCTCTGCCTCTGAGGATGACTCTGACTGTTTGTAATCTATTTCTGAAATTAATGTCAAGCTTCCAAATTCTGTCCTCCTCAAGGACCCTAACCCTTTAATGGTGGGGCTATCTAAAATTCAAGTAACAAGTTTAACTGCGCTTCTTCAATCGTACCCTGATATTTTCTCAGATGTGCCGAAACAATGTACATTAGGTTATCATGATGTAGATGTGGAAAGCTCTAAACCTATTAAACTCTCTCCCTACAGAGCTAATCTAGAAAAACAGAAGCTATTTCAGCAGGAGGTAGAATTTCTGTTAGAGCATGGTTTAGTGGAGGAGTCATTTAATCCATGGGCTTCACTGTGCATCCTTGTTAAAAAGGCTGATGGAGGTTTTCGAATGTGTACAGACTACTCTAAGGTGAATGAGGTCACAATTACAGATGCTTACCCTCTTCCTCATCTGGATAACATAATCGAATTTGTGGGCAAGGCTACTTTTGTGTCCAAGTTAGATCTCCTTAAACGTTACTATCAGGTGCCTCTGACGAATAAGGCGAAAGGAAATCTCTGCGTTCCTAATTCCAAGAGGTCATTATCAATATACAGATCAAAATTTACTGCTCACAACATATTTATGGATGGTATGATTAACACAGATCCACATCAGTGACAGTGACCATGAAAACATAAAACTGTGTGGGAGTCTGTGAGTGGCAAGTAAGCATGGGGTTACATTTAAAACTGCCAGAAGCATTAGTGCACAGTAGTAAGCTAAAGCAATCCTTTGCTGTCTTGAACCCCAGTGAACTTTTCTCTTGCTGACTGATCTAACTTCTCAATAACATCTTCTACCAGTAAACACTTGTTACATCTTGATGACATCATCTACCAGTAAGCACTTGTTACATCTTGATGACATCTACCAGTAAATATTTGTTACATCTTGATGACATCTTCTACAAGTAAATATTTGTTACATCACCATTACACACTAACTGACCCTCACAACCACCCTAACAAATTTTATCCTCAAATTCAGATGGAAAATTCCCTGCATTTATAAGGTCAATAGTCAACATACTACACCAGTACCAACAACAGTACCAACACCTGTACCAACACCAGAACCAACACCAGAACCAACACCAGTACCAATGCCAGTTGATAAATTAAACACACGTGCAACACTTGGGTATTTTTAATGAGGAAACGTTTTGCCACAGAGTGGTTTCATCAGTCCATACAAAGGAGAATCGTTAAGAACAGGAGGAGTTTGAAGTAATCAGTCCCTCAGCCTTGAGTCGATGTAATCAGTCCATCAATCTTGAAAAGAATACAGCATATGTACAAGGATGTGGCTTATATACTGTAGGCAGATGGTGAGGTGCAGCCTTCATCAACAATCCTGTCTGACACTGCAACTTCTTGGAATCTTAATACTTGGGAATTCTTCAATTGCCTAACCCTTGGGCATGACCTACTTCCACATTGGGCAAATGTGATACCACCTTCAACTGCTGCACCTCACCATCTGCCTACAGTATATAAGCCACATCCTTGCACATACACTGTACTCTTTTCAAGATTGATGGACTGATTACATCGACTCAAGGCTGAGGAACTGATTACCTCAAACTCCTCCTGTTCTTCATGATTCTCCTTTGTATGGACTGATGAAGCCACTGTGTGAAGAAATGTTTCCTCATTAAAGATACCCAAGTGTTGCACACGTCTAATTTATCAACTTGTCAGTTCTCTGAACCATTCATCTACAACCAACACCAGTACCTACCTATAGTTGACACACCACACCAGACAGAAGAGAATGTTGCGAAAAAACTCAGTGATGAGCAGCGCAGCTGTCCAGACCAGACCCACACCCACTGCTTCCTCTGTTGTCATCCAGGTCAGTAGGTAGCGCATGAACATTGTCTGCAAGAAGTAATGGAAGAACATGAACATGAACATGAAGTGCATGAAAACTGCAATAAGTAATGGTAGTGCATGAACACTGCAAGAAGTAATGGTATTGCATGAACACTCTGCAAGAAGTAATGGTAGTGCATGAACACTGCAAGAAGTAATGGTAGTGCATGAACACTGCAAGAAGTAATGGTTGTGCATGAACACTGCAAGAAGTAATGGTAGTGCATGAACACTGCAAGAAGTAATGGTATTGCATGAACACTCTGCAAGAAGTAATGGTAGTGCATGAACACTGCAAGAAGTAATGGTAGTGCATGAACACTGCAAGAAGTAATGGTTGTGCATGAACACTGCAAGAAGTAATGGTAGTGCATGAACACTCTGCAAGTAGTAATGATAGTGCATGAACACTGTCTGCAAGAAGTAATGGTAGTGTATGAACACTGCAAGTAATGGTAATGCATGAACATTGTCTGCAAGAAGCAATGGAAGTACATGAATACCATCTGCAAGAAGTAATGGGAGCCATGAACACTGCAAGAAGTAATGGTAGTGCATGAACACTGTCTGCAAGAAGTAATGGTAGCAATGAACACTACAAGAAGTAATGGTAGTGCATGAACACTGTCTGCAAGAAGTAATGGTAGTGTATGAACACTGCAAGAAGTAATGGTAGTGCATGAACATTGTCTGCAAGAAGCAATGGAAGTACATGAATACCATCTGCAAGAAGTAATGGTAGCCATGAACACTGCAAGAAGTAATGGTAGTGCATGAACACTGTCTGCAAGAAGTAATGGTAGCAATGAACACTACAAGACGTAATGGTAGTGCATGAACACTGTCTGCAAGAAGTAATGGTAGCCATGAACACTGCAAGAAGTAATGGTAGTGCATGAACACTGGCTGCAAGAAGTAATGGTAGTGCATGAACACTGGCTGCAAGAAGTAATGGTAGCACATGAACACTGTCTGCAAGAAGTAATGGTAGCCATGAAAACTGCAAGAAGTAATGGTAGTGCATGAACACTGTCTGCAAGAAGTAATGGTAGTGCATGAACACTGTCTGCAAGAAGTAATGGTAGTGCATGAACACTGTCTGCAAGAAATAATGGTAGTGCATGAACACTGGCTGCAGAAGTAATGGTAGCACATGAACTCTGTCTGCATGAAGTAATGGCAGTGCATGAACACTGCAAGAACTAATGGTAGTGCATGAACAATGTCTGTAAGAAGTAATGGAAGCCATGAACACCGCAATAAGTAATGGTTGCATATGAACACTGCAAGAAGAAATAGTAGCCCATGAACAGTGGCTGCAAGAAATAATGGTAGCACATGAACATTGTCTTCAAGAAGTAATGGTAGCCACAAACACTGTCTGCAAGAAGTAATGGTAACACATGAACAATGTCTGCAAGAAGTAATGGTAGCCACAAACACTGTCTGCAAGAAGTAATGGTAGTGCATGAACACTGCAAGAAGTAATGGTAGTGCATGAACACTGCAAGAAGTAATGGTAGTGCATGAACACTCTGCAAGAAGTAATGGTAGTGCATGAACACTGCAAGAAGTAATGGTAGTGCATGAACACTCTGCAAGAAGTAATGGTAGTGCATGAACACTGCAAGAAGTAATGGTAGTGCATGAACACACTGCAAGAAGTAATGATAGTGCATGAACACTGTCTGCAAGAAGTAATGGTAGTGCATGAACATTGTCTGCAAGAAGCAATGGAAGTACATGAATACCATCTGCAAGAAGTAATGGTAGCCATGAACACTGCAAGAAGTAATGGTAGTGCATGAACACTGTCTGCAATAAGTAATGGTAGCAATGAACACTACAAGAATTAATGGTAGTGCATGAACACTGTCTGCAAGAAGTAATGGTAGCCATGAACACTGCAAGAAGTAATGGTAGTGCATGAACACTGTCTGCAAGAAGCAATTATAGTGCATGAACACTGTCTGCAAGAAGTAATGGTAGCACATGAACACTGTCTGCAAGAAGTAATGGTAGCCATGAACACTGCAAGAAGTAATGGTAGTGCATGAACACTGTCTGCAAGAAGTAATGGTAGTGCATGAACACTGTCTGCAAGAAGTAATGGTAGTGCATGAACACTGTCTGCAAGAAATAATGGTAGTGCATGAACACTGGCTGCAAGAAGTAATGGTAGCACATGAACTCTGTCTGCATGAAGTAATGGTAGTGCATGAACACTGTCTGCAAGAAGTAATGGCAGTGCATGAACACTGGCTGCAAGAAGTAATGGTAGCACATGAACACTGTCTGCATGAAGTAATGGTAGTGCATGAACACTGCAAGAACTAATGGTAGTGCATGAACAATGTCTGTAAGAAGTAATGGAAGCCATGAACACTGCAATAAGTAATGGTTGCATATGAACACTGCAAGAAGAAATAGTAGCCCATGAACAGTGCCTGCAAGAAATAATGGTAGCACATGAACATTGTCTTCAAGAAGTAATGGTAGCCACAAACATTGTCTGCAAGAAGTAATGGTAACACATGAACAATGTCTGCAAGAAGTAATGGTAGTGCATGAACACTCTGCAAGAAGTAATGGTAGTGCATGAACACTGTCTGCAAGAAGTAATGGTAGTGTATGAACACTGCAAGAAGTAATGGTAGTGCATGAACACTCTGCAAGAAGTAATGATAGTGCATGAACACTGTCTGCAAGAAGTAATGGTAGTGTATGAACACTGCAAGAAGTAATGGTAGTGCATGAACACTGCAAGAAGTAATGGTAGTGCATGAACACTCTGCAAGAAGTAATGATAGTGCATGAACACTGTCTGCAAGAAGTAATGGTAGTGTATGAACACTGCAAGAAGTAATGGTAGTGCATGAACACTGCAAGAAGTAATGGTAGTGCATGAACACTCTGCAAGAAGTAATGATAGTGCATGAACACTGTCTGCAAGAAGTAATGGTAGTGTATGAACACTGCAAGAAGTAATGGTAGTGCATGAACATTGTCTGCAAGAAGCAATGGAAGTACATGAATACCATCTGCAAGAAGTAATGGTAGCCATGAACACTGCAAGAAGTAATGGTAGTGCATGAACACTGCAAGAAGTAATGGTAGCCATGAACACTGCAAGAAGTAATGGTAGTGCATGAACACTGTCTGCAAGAAGTAATGGTAGCCATGAACACTGCAAAAAGTAATGGTAGTGCATGAACACTGGCTGCAAGAAGTAATGGTAGTGCATGAACACTGGCTGCAAGAAGTAATGGTAGCACATGAACACTGTCTGCAAGAAGTAATGGTAGCCATGAACACTGCAAGAAGTAATGGTAGTGCATGAACACTGTCTGCAAGAAGTAATGGTAGTGCATGAACACTGGCTGCAAGAAGTAATGGTAGCGCATGAACACTGTCTGCATGAAGTAATGGTAGTGCATGGACACTGCAAGAAGTAATGGTAGTGCATGAACACTGCAAGAAGTAATGGTAGTGCATGAACACTGTCTGCAAGAAGTAATGGTAGTGCATGAACACTGGCTGCAAGAAGTAATGGTAGCACATGAACACTGTCTGCATGAAGTAATGGTAGTGCATGAACACTGCAAGAAGTAATGGTAGTGCATGAACACTGTCTGCAAGAAGTAATGGTAGTGCATGAACACTGTCTGCATGAAGTAATGGTAGTGCATGAACACTGCAAGAAGTAATGGTAGTGCATGAACATTGTCTGCATGAAGTAATGGTAGTGCATGAACACTGCAAGAAGTAATGGTAGTGCATGAACACTGCAAGAAGTAATAGTAGCATATGAACATTGTTTGCAAGAAATAATGATAGTCATGAACACTGTCTGCAAGAAATAATGGTAGCCATGAACGCTGTCTGCAAGAAGTAATGGTAGTGCATGAACACTGTCTGCAAGAAATAATGGTAGTGCATGAACACTGGCTGCAAGAAGTAATGGTAGCACATGAACTCTGTCTGCATGAAGTAATGGTAGTGCATGAACACTGGCTGCAAGAAGTAATGGTAGCACATGAACTCTGTCTGCATGAAGTAATGGTAGTGCATGAACACTGTCTGCATGAAGTAATGGTAGTGCATGAACACTGCAAGAACTAATGGTAGTGCATGAACAATGTCTGTAAGAAGTAATGGAAGCCATGAACACTGCAAGAAGTAATGGTTGCATATGAACACTGCAAGAAGAAATAGTAGCCCATGAACAGTGGCTGCAAGAAATAATGGTAGCACATGAACATTGTCTTCAAGAAGTAATGGTAGCCACAAACACTGTCTGCAAGAAGTAATGGTAACACATGAACAATGTCTGCAAGTAATGGTAGTGCATGAATGCTGCAAGAAGTACTGGTAGTGCATGAGCACTGCAAGAAGTAATGGTAGTGCATGAACACTGCAAGAAGTAATGGTAGTGCATGAACACTCTGCAATTAGTAATGATAGTGCATGAACATTGTCTGCAAGAAGTAATGGTAGTGTATGAACACTGCAAGAAGTAATGGCAGTGCATGAACATTGTCTGCAAGAAGCAATGGAAGTACAGGATTACCATCTGCAAGAAGTAATGGTAGCCATGATCACTGCAAGAAGTAATGGTAGTGCATGAACACTGCAAGAAGTAATGGTAGCCATGAACACTGCAAGAAGTAATGGTAGTGCATGAACACTGCAAGAAGTAATGGTAGCCATGAACACTGCAAGAAGTAATGGTAGTGCATGAACACTGTCTGCAAGAAGTAATGGTAGCCATGAACACTGCAAAAAGTAATGGTAGTGCATGAACACTGGCTGCAAGAAGTAATGGTAGTGCATGAACACTGGCTGCAAGAAGTAATGGTAGCACATGAACACTGTCTGCAAGAAGTAATGGTAGCCATGAACACTACAAGAAGTAATGGTAGTGCATGAACACTGTCTGCAAGAAGTAATGGTAGTGCATGAACACTGTCTGCAAGAAGTAATGGTAGTGCATGAACACTGTCTGC